TTATCCTCACTAACACCTAACAACTCATTATCCTCACCAACACCTCATTATCCTCACTGACACCTGACAACTTATTATCATCACTAACACCTCACAACTCATTATCCACACTAACACCCAACCTCATTATCCTCACTAACACCTAACAACTCATTATCCTCACCAACACCTCATTATCCTCACTAACACCTGACAACTCATTATTCACCAACACCTGACAACCCATTATCCTCACTAACATCTGACAACTCACATCACTAACACCCATTATCCCTCCCTAACACCTCACAACTCATTATCCCTCACTAACCCCTAACAACTCATTATCCCCACTAACTCCCACAACTCATTAGCCTCACTAACACCTCGCAACTCATTATCCTCACTAACACCTCACACCTCCATCCTCACTACCCTCACAACTCATTATCCTCACTACACCTACAGTTCATTATCCCCACTAACCCTCCCAACTCATACTTCTCTAACACCTCACAGCTCATTATCCCCACACCTCACAGCTCCATCTCACTAACACCTCACAACTCATTATCCTCACTAACACCTTACAGTTCATATCCTCACTAACTCCTCCCAACTCATTATCCTCTCTAACACCTCACAGCTCATATCCTCACTAACACCTCACAACTCCCACTCATCCCTAAAACATCAAAACTCATTATCCTCACTAACACCTCACAGCTCATTATCCTCACTTAACTCCTCCCAACCCATATCCCCCAACACCTCACAGCTCATATTATCTCTCACTAACACCTCACAGCTCATTATCCTCACTAACTCCTCCCATCTCATTATCCTCACTAACACCTCCAGCTCATTATCCTCACTAACACCCTCACAACCCATTATCCTCTCTAACACGTCACAGCTCATTATCCTCACTAACTCCTCCCAACTCATTATCCTCAAAACCCTCACAGCTCATTATCCTCACTAACACCTCACAGCTCATCCTCACTAACACCTCACAACCTATTATCTCACTAACACCTCACAGCTAATTATCCTCACTAACTCCTCCCAACTCAACCTCTCTAACACCTCACAGCTCATTATCCTCACTAACACCTCACAACTCATATCCTCTAAAACCTCAAAACTCATTATCCTCACTAACACCTCACAGCTAATCATCGCCTAACCCTCCCAAGTCATCCTCGCTAACACCTTACAACTCATTATCCTCACTAACACCTCACAGCTCATTATCCTCACTAACACCTCACAGTTCATTATCCTCACACACCTCACAGCTCATTATCCTCTAACACCCCACAACTCATAATCCTCTTAACACCTCACAGCTCATTATCCTCACCACTCCAACCATTATCCTCTAAAACCTCACAACCTATATCCCCACTAACACCTCACAGTTCCATTATCCTCTAACACCTCACAACCATTATCCTCAACACCTCCCAACTCATTATCCTCACTAACACCTCACAGCTCATTATCCTCACTAACACCTCACAACCCATTATCCTCTCTAACACCTCACAGCTCATTATCCTCACATACCTCACAACTCATTATCCTCTCTAACACCTCACAACTCATTATCCTCGCTAACACCTCACAACTCATTATCCTCTCTAACACCTCACAACTCATTATACTCTCTAACACCTCACTACTCATTATCCTCTCTAACACCTCACAGCTCATTATCCTCCTCACTAACACCTCACAACTCACATCTTAACACGTTCACAGCTCATTATCCCTCACTAACACCACAGCTCATTATCCCCACTAACACCTCATAACTCATTATCCTCACTAACACCTCACAACTCATATTCCTCACTAAACCCACACCCATTATCCTCACCACCTCAACTCATTATCCCCACTAACACCTCACAATCATTATCCTCACTAACACCTCACAACTCATTATCCTCTCAACATCTCACAACTCATTATCCTCACTAACACCTCATAGCTCATTATCCTCACTAACACCTCACAACTATTATCCCCACACACCTCCCAACTCATTATCCTTTCTAACACCTCACAGCTCCTTATCCTCACTAACACCTCCCAACTCATTATCCTCACTATCTCCTCCCAACTCAATATCCTCTCTAACACCTCACAGCTCATTATCCTCACTAACACCTGACAACCCATTATCCTCACTAACACCTCACAATCTCATTATCCTCACTAACACCTCACCAACTCATTATCGTCACTAACACCTCCCTACTCATTATCCTCACTAACACCTCACAACTCATTATCTCCTAACACCTCACTACTCATTATCCTCACTAACACCTCCCAACTCATTATCCTCACTAACACCTCCCAACTCATTATCCTCACTAACGTAAGTACTGGCCTCTTACCCGCTAAGTACACTGGGTTGGTGGTGTATCATCGCTTGTATTTCTTCACACACTTTTACTGATAATTTCAAAGGTAAAATATTAAACCTCGCGTACAAGTGTTCAGTGAAGAAGTCGAGTGTTGTGGGACTGTGAGGAATAATAAACCTTGAAATATGTTTAACACAATAATCCCAAACTAATCCAGTGTCTGTGAAAGTCATAATCCCTAAATAACTGCTTTATGAATTGTGTTTATAACTGAAGTATGCTGTTGTGGTATAATACTGTCTGTGACTTTCGAGTCTTTTTGTATATTGTATAAGTTTAGATGTACTGTACATCACACACACACACACACACACACACACACACACACACACACACACACACACACACACACACACACACACCATAAGAGAGTAACCTATAGAAATAAAAACAATATTCTGACAATCGAATCTTATGCACTAATATTAAAAAAACGATTAAAAAATAAAAAATCCAAATCATAACTAAAGACAAGTTGAATAGTGAAGTTAAATGTAGTTATGATAACAGTCAATTATAAGAGCAGACAATGAAGTTAAATTAAATATAGAAGTACTGTACAATGGACCCAGCACTTGAAGCACACGTACAGTACAGTTGAACACGAACCTACCTATACTTCTAACACGGGGTCCTGCTACAGTCTACACTCTACACAAGCAGAAAAGCCAATGATCTCCAGGAACGAACAGTCACTTGGTATTTGTTGTGTTTTATCATTTTGCCTTTGAATATTAATACATACCGTACGTGTGTTTAGTTTGTCTGATGATAGAAACTGTGACAAGAAAACGTTCGCTAGTGAAGAAGCCCAATCTTCTCCCAACCATGTCTTGAATATAGACGGAAGCTAAGGTACTCCATTGTTTCCCTTTTCCTATTGATTTTATCGAGATTTATCTTGTCCAGGTTTCCATTGAGGATCTACATGATATATATATATATATATATATATATATATATATATATATATATATATATATATATATATATATATATATATATATATATATATATATATATATATATATATATATATATATATATATATATATATAGCTACTTGACTTTCCTTTAGGGACAGTGTAGGTACAACACACTGTATATTAAGCCTTCGGTACACAAGGAGGCAGCATGGCCAGTACTGCACTCCATCGCCTTAACTTCCGCAATTTGTTGAGGTATCCATTTACAGCTGGGTGAACTGGGTGTGCCAGGGAATCGAACTCCGGAACAGGAGGCGAGCCCTGCATCCACTCGATTACCACGCTCCTGAGCGGAAGGTAAGTTACTGTGTATATGAACCCTCTCGCCGATCAAAAATGTCAGCACCGCCATGGCACTGATGACAGATGGCAGGCTGTTGTGTTGAACTGTCAGTTCGTGAATTCACTTCATCTTTTAACTATATAGCTACTTGACAAACCTAGACAGACAGACCATATGCTATTTTTTTGTGAAATCATGTCATGTGGTTTCTATTTTTTTCTTATCCCAAGTGTTTTAAATGAATATAATAAAAACCACAGTATTGCAGAATACTGTATACACTACTGTAAAGTGAAGCTACATGGTTCATTCCTTGCGGCACAAATCACCCATCACAATACAGTATACACAGTAGGATGACTATGTTTTGCTCTAAAGCGATAATTTCCTTCGTGAAAATAGATCCACCATCACAATCCCCATTATATACATCCTTACTTTACCAAGTATTGCCAGGCAAAATTACAGTTACGAGACCCAGGAGGGGGTCGCCGGATCTCTGGTTGACTATACATAGAGTACACGAGTTATATGACCCACATGAAGACTTGATTTGCTTATACTGTTTATCAATCGTTGCCTCCAATATTACCTCAGAAGATCCCGGTGCTGATAAAGAATCTGAGGATCAATGTTTTCCTCTAAATCTGACTTTACACTAAACCCAACTTGACACAAAATGCGACTTTACTTTAAATTGACTATATCTATCTATCTATCTATCTATCTATATATATATATATATATATATATATATATATATATATATATATATATATATATATATATATATATATACCCTGTGTGTTGGTGGGAGGTTCTAGAAGTGAACTGACGTCCAGGAAGGGTGCAACAGGCTATGTGCGCCCTTTACCGCAGTATATAACGAACTTCTCAACGGAACTAATACCATTAAGGTTTAGTCAGTTTAAGAAGTTGACAAAGAATATGTTTGATGAAGAAGTTGTTTAGTAATGTTGTTACTATTCCTAGTTTTTCGTGATACAATAGTTTTATATCATGATTAATTTTACACGTGGAATACATGAAAACTAACATACGTTGTTAAACTTATCACAAGTGCATGCACCATTATGTACAGTCACCCACAAAAGTCCTGTCGTCTCTCCCCCTGAACCACGATCCCCGAGATTCAGACTGTTGAATCCGAAGCATTTATGGATAGAATAATGCATCAATGTCTAAATTTTTGGGTACACGAGTCTGAATCTCAGGGCTCAGAGAGCAACAGGACTTGTGTGGGTGACTTTTACTGTACTTTATAGCTACAGCGCGCTCAAGAATACTTACTCATACTGCGGCACGTCATTGTTGCTGAGGAAGGTCTTGGACTTGGCTCCGTTAGAGGCGGCCAGAAGCAAGAGAAGAGACAAAGATGCCAGAAGAACGGAAGTCCTCCAAGCAGGCAACACCATCTTGAAGACCTCGACGATGTCTTGTCCTATGGCTTACTGTATACTTGTAAGTTACTAGTATAACATATCACCATACAATCTAACACGACTCTGAGGATAATGTGACGCAGCAACTGAAATGCTGGGGGGATGTCCACCTGTCGACGGTCAGTTCACGTCTGATGCCGCTACGACTGAGTGCTGGTTTGAACCAGGCAAGAACCCAGGTGAAGCTGCACTGAGCATGACGTCATCAATCTTGCTGCGGATGCCAGATGTATTTTTTATAATATCATATTCGCCACTTATCAGCATACTAGCCGGTTGGGCACTATCCAGTGTTAGGGGCTACAGTAGTAAACCATGTATAACTTTTTACGATACTTCTCACTTGGCCGAAGATTAGTGGTATTTGATAATGCTTTCAGTATCGCTTATACATGAATACTGTATTATATAGTTTATGCAATATTGAGCCTCAGAGGGCAAGCGATATACTAAACGGATAATTGCCAATTAACAAGAACTTGTTTGTACTATTTATAATTTTTTGAGATCTGACTGGTCATAAGTGATCATTCAAAACATAAAAAATACATATAAATGATTAGTTTTACACAAAACCTAACCAAACCTAACGTAACCAAACCTAATCTAACTTAACCTAACCCAATGTACTGTACTGTTGGTATAGTAAACGAAGCCTTAAATGAAAAAAACAGAGGAAAATTTAGCATAAGCGATTTGTTTTCCTTCTATTTATAGCAACAAAAACTTAACCATATTGGCAAAAAAAATAACGATATTTTTTAGCTTTAATCAGCGATTATCGCTATTTAAAGTATTATACTCACCCCAGCTAAGACGACTTAACAACCACGTATTATATATATATTCTTTTTAATCTCATTACACCCTCACAGACACATACCGCCACAGCAGCCCCACACACCCTCACAGACACATACCGCCACAACAGCCCCACACACCCTCACAGACAAATACCGCCACGGCAGCCTCACACACCCTCACAGACACATACCGCCACAGCAGCCTCACACACCCTCACAGACAAATACCGCCACGGCAGCCTCACACACCCTCACAGACAAATACCGCCGGCAGCCTCACACACCCTCACAGACACATACCGCCACGGCAGCCTCACACACCCTCACAGACAAATACCGCCACGGCAGCCTCACACACCCTCACAGACAAATACCGCCACAGACCTCCACACACCCTCACAGACAAATACCGCCACAGCAGCCTCACACACCCTCACAGACAAATACCGCCACGGCAGCCTCACACACCCTCACAGACAAATACCGCCACAGCAGCCCCACACACCCCTCACAGACAAATACCGCCACAGCAGCCCCACACACCCCTCACAGACAAATACCGCCACAGCAGCCCCACACACCCTCACAGACAAATACCGCCACAGCAGCACACACCCTCACAGACAAATACCGCCACAGCAGCCTCCCACACACCCTCACACACCCTCACAGACATATACCCTCACAGCAGCCCACACACCCTCACAGACATTTACCATCACAGCAGCCTCACACCTCACACACCCTCACAGACATATACCTCACAGACATATACCATCACAGCAGCCTCACACACACCCTCACAGACATATACCCTCACAGCAGACTCCACACACCCTCACAGACATATACCATCACAGCAGCCTCACACACACCCTCACACCCTCACAGACATATACCCTCACAGCAGCCCCACACACCTCACAGATATATACCATCACAGCAGCCTCCACACACACCCTCACAGACATATACCCTCACAGCAGCTCACACACCCTCACAGACATATACCATCACAGCAGCCCCACACACCCTCACAGACATACTCCATCACAGCAGCCTCACACACCCTCACACACCCTCACAGACAAATACCCTCACAGCAGCCCCACACACCCTCACAGACGCATGCCAACACAGCAGCCTCCCACACACACCCTCCTCACAGACATATCCTCACAGCAGCCCCACACACCCTCACAGACATATACCATCACAGAGCCTCACACCTCACAGACATATACCCTCACAGCAGACTCACACACCCTCACAGACATATACCATCACAGGCAGCCTCACACACACCCTCACACACACCCTCACAGACACCACCTCGCCCAGCCCCACACACCCTCACAGACATATACCCTCACAGCAGACTCACACACCCTCACAGACATATACCGCCACAGCAGCCTCACACACCCTCAGAGACATATGCCTACACAGCAGCCTCACACAACCTCACAGACATATACCGCCACGGCAGCCTCACACACCCTCACGAACCATATACCCTCACAGCAGACTCACACACCCTCACAGACATATACCGCCACAGCAGCCTCACACACCTCACAGACATATACCCTCACAGCAGCCCCACACACCCTCACAGACATATACCGCCACAGCAGACTCACACACCCTCACAGACATATACCGCCACGGCAGCCTCCCACACACCCTCACAGACATATACCCTCGCAGACTCACACACCCTCACAGACATATACCGCCACAGCAGCCTCACACACCCTCACAGACATATACCCTCACAGCAGCCCCACACCCTCACAGACATATACCGCCACAGCAGCCTCCACACACACACACCCTCAGAGCATATACCCTAACAGCAGCCTCACAACCTCACAGACATATCCATCACAGCAGCCTCACACAACCTCACAGACATATACCCTCACAGCAGACTCACACACCCTCACAGACATATACCATCACAGCAGCCCCACAACCTCACAGACATATACCATCAAGCAGACTCACACACCCTCACAGACATACCCTCACAGCAGCCTCACACACACCTCACAGACATATACCCTCACCGAGCTCACACCTACAGACATATACCATCAGGCAGCCCCACACAACCTCACAGACATATACCATCACAGCAGCCTCACACAACCTCACAGACATATACCCTCACAGCAGACTCACACACCCCTCACAGACATATACCATCACAGCAGCCCCACACACCCTCACAGACATATACCGCCACAGCAGCCTCACACACCCTCAGAGACATACTCACCTAACAGCAGCCTCACACACCTCACAGGACATATACCATCACAGCAGCCTCACACAACCTCACAGACATATACCCTCACAGCAGACTCACACACCCTCACAGACATATACCATCACAGCAGCCCCACACACCTCACAGACATATACCATCACAGCAGCCTCACACACCTCACAGACATATACCCCTCACAGCAGCCTCACACACCCTCAGAGACATATACCTAACAGCAGCCCTCACACAACCTCACAGACATATACCATCACAGCAGACTCACACACCCTCACAGACATATACCCTCACAGCAGACTCACACACCCTCACAGACATATACCCTCACAGCAGACTCACACCCTCACAGACTACCGCCACAGCAGCCCCACACACACCCTCACAGACATATACCGCCACGGCAGCCTCACACACACCTCACAGACATATACCCTCACAGCACCCCACACACCCTCACAGACATATACCGCCACAGCAGCCTCACACCCTCACAGACATACCACCTAACAGCAGCCTCCACACAGCCTCACAGACATATACCATCACAGCAGCCTCACACAACCTCACAGACATATACCATCACAGCAGCCCCTCACACACCCTCACAGACATATACCTCCACAGCAGACTCACACACCCTCACAGACAAATGCTCCCACGGCCTCACACACCCTCACAGACATATACCGCCACAGCAGCCCACACACCCTCACAGACATATACCGCCACAGCAGCCCCACACACACACCCTCACGAACCATACCGCCAGCAGCCTCACCACACCCCTCACAGACATATACCGCCACGGCAGCCTCACACACCCTCAGAACAAATACCGCCACGGCAGCCTCCACACCCCTCACAGACATATGCCATACAGCAGCCTCACACACACCCTCCTGAATAATACCCCCACGGCAGCCCTCACACCCCTCACAGACATATACCGCCACAGCAGCCCCACACACACCCTCACAGACATATACCAGCCACAGCAGCCCCACACACACCCTCACAGACATATACCGCCACAGCAGCCCCACACACCCTCACAGACATATACCGCCACAGCAGCCCCACACACCCTCACAGACATATACCGCCACAGCAGCCTCACACACCCTCCACACACCCTCACAGACATATGCACCCTCCACCAACACCCTCACAGACATATACCATCACAGCAGCCTCACACACCCTCACACACCCTCACAGACATATACCCTCAACGTCCATCACAGCAGCCTCACACACCCTCACAGACATATACCCTCACAGCAGACTCACACACCCTCACAGACATACCATCACAGCAGCCTCACACACCCTCACACCCTCACAGACATATACCCTCACAGCAGCCTCACACACTCACAGAAATATACCATCACAGGCCCCTCACACACCCTCACAGACATATACCCTCACAGCAGCCTCACACACCTCACAGACATATACCATCACAGCAGCCCCACACACCCTCACAGACATATACCATCACAGCAGCCTCACACACACCCTCACACACCCTGAATAATACCCTCACAGCAGCCCACACACCCTCACAGACATATACCATCACAGCAGCCTCACACACCCTCCACACACCCTCACAGACATATACCCTCACAGCAGCCCCACACACCCTCACAGACATATACCATCACCGGCCTCCACACCCTCACAGACATATACCCTCACAGCAGCCTCACACACACCCTCACAGACATATGCCATCACAGCAGCCTCACACACCCTCACACACCCTCACAGACATATACCCTCACAGCAGCCCTCACACACCCTCACAGACATATACCACAGCAGCCCCACACCCTCACAGACATATACCACGCCATGGCAGTCACACACCCTCACAGACATGTCACCCTCACCAGCCTCCACACACCCTCACAGAATATGCCATCTGCAGCAGCTTCACACACCCTCACAGGCACCTTATGCCCCCACCAACCTCCACACACACCCTCACAGTTATATACCATCCCTGGCCTCACA